TTTTTCTGTTAATTCTGTTAAATGACAAAACTCTGATAAAAAAATATTTGTAATTTTCAAAATTATAAAGGGTAATCTGTATTTTAAATAAATCTCAATAAATGTATTTATAATTTATCCTAATAATAATAATAACAAAAGGGAAAAATGCACTAACACTCCCTTGGATTTTTTTTTATAACCGTAGACACTCTCTCTAATCACATTTATGAAATTACAATGAACAATGTTAAGAATACCAAAAAAATTGCCAAAAAATCTACCAAATACGATATGGAACCCACACTCATATGAGTATTGATAAATTTTTTGATAAAACATTTGGAGTCTAACATTATTGAATTACAATATCCATTATTTTAGTTGATAATATACAAAAAATATTAAATGTATATTTAGTTTTGGTTGTGAATCTTAAAAAAAAAAAAAAAAAACATATGGGGAAATTAGGGGGAACCCATCCCCAACCCATCCCCTGTGGATATTTAAAGAATATCACTTACCCTACCCAATTAATAAGAAAAAGAAGAGAAAATTCATGTATTTGGGTTGGGTCTCCATGGATATCCACAAAATAAGTTATCCATTGCCATCTCTAAAACCAACCATTATACAATTATCAACCTTACTATTGCATCAAAACCACTTCTTAAAAAATAAAAAGAGAAAGAAAGAAAGAATCATCTCAACTCTGTCTATGCACACTTGACCACACCAAATGAGACCAATGTTTCTATTACCCTCTCTTTCCATGGGTCTCTTTCTCACTCACTCTCTCTCCAATTTGTTCCGTCAATTATTATTTGACTTGTATGTTTAATGTCACAACATTTTTCAATGTGGTGGTTGCATGGGTACTTTTTAGTAATAAAAAAACATTATATAAAAAAAAAGTGATAACATATGGGTTGTATTTAAAAAATTAGAACTTGATAAGGACAGAATGGTCATTGTAGCTTATACATGAGGGATAGAAGAGATGTTATACATAAAGAATAAAACCCAAAACACTATTGAATGGAAATACTAAAGTGCATGAAATGAGTGGATCTCACCATCAACAGAGGCAAAATCCGTTTGGTGGGGGGAGAGAGAGGAAGAGAGGGAGACAGTTGTGAAGGAGTTGGGTCTTGAAAGGAATCCCCTTCCATTTGGGTGATTTGGCCATGTGCTTGTGGGACCCACTACTCTGGGGTTTTATTTTAGCCACTCATCCATGGGAGTCCAAACTCAGCTGGCAAAACCTATTTACAAGTTGGGATGTAAAGAAGGCAACAACTTCATTTTTTTTTATTCACTAAATTACACTAACATTTTGGAGTGTCTGCGAAAATGATTAAAAGTTAATTTTTAAAATTAATTTTTTTTTTTTTAAAAAAAAATTATAAAAAATATGAGAGATGATACCATTCAAAATGAGTTAAAAGTTGACTTTTGACTTTTAACTGTATTGTCAAATTGACTCATATGAGGACTTATTCAGACTTTGAGAGCTATTTTGTTTGAAAATTCACTATTCATATGTGTGTATATATACATAGTATTCGTGTTATGTACAGTTTTAAATAATAATTGAAAATTAATTTTAAAATTAAATAATAATTTATTAATGCTTCAAACATTGGTGTGAGCACTTCATGTTCAAATTCTCCTTCATAGTTGTAATGTCTCTCCTTCTTAACTAATTCACCAAATATGAAGAAATTATGTGATTATATCAAACAAATTTGATTTTTTTGTGACAAATTTACACATAAAAGTCTAAAATATGAATAAAATTATTTATCAAAATAAGTCACTTCAAGTAGCCTGATTGAACAATAAGATTCTCTCTCTAACCGAGAACTTCCCTCTCTACTCCTTTTCTTAGGGTTTCTTTGCGGCGGTGCTTGGGAGGGAGAGGGGGTTTCAGCCTCCAGTCACCTCTCTCCTCTCTGTCTCCCTATTTTCTCTTTCAGCTTCTGCCAAATAAGTTTTGGGAGCTTTTCTTCTTAATCTCTTCCTCTTTGTGAGGTGTTTTTCTTCCCCCCATGGCAGAAGTGTGCTAGGTTCTCCTCCTCCATCCTGCTGGTATGGATCTGCTCCAGATCTGGTTTAAGGTTGAGTTTTTTAGTCTTCTTTTTTATTTTTATTTGTATTTTTGTTTGATTTGATTTTGGAATCAGTGCTTAATGTAGTTTACCTACTTTGTGGTTGTATCCTATGATCTATCATCGGCATGCTCTATGGGTGATTGTGTTGACCTTTGCTTGTAGTACGAACACAAGCACAAGCACAAGCACAAGCACAAGCACAAATTGTGTTGCTGGGTGTCTTTATAGCTTTACTCTTGTGTGTTGTTTGTTTTCATCTTTCCTTCGTTTGGTGTATGTTTATCTCTTAGATGACCTCTTTATATGTGCCGTTTAGCTACATTAATGGAAATTTCTATTTTGATAAAAAAAATATATAAAAAAATAGCCTGATTGAACAATTCAATGTAGTACCTCAATATTAATTAGTCACACCTCGTGAGTACAAAAAATAAATAAAATAAAATAAAATAAAAATAGTCACCAAAACTAATGAAAAAATAACCATTGTACAATAAAGATTTGTACTACCTTACCTTGGTTTGACATGTTAAATTAGAAGGGATAACCATCCAAATATCTCAAAAGCAACCCAAAAAATATATATAAATAAATAAAGAGAGAAAGAAAGAACTCTACAATTAAACCATCTGGATGATTCTGATTGAGCCAAATGACTCTTTGCATATTTTATTTATGTATTGATTATTTTTTAAATCAATACTTGATGCAGTTGGGAAATGAGACAGATTTAGAGGTGATTATTTGATAGTCTTGGAATATTATTATATACCATTTATTATTTGGCACTTGTCAAATTATTTCTCAAAAGCTCAACAAAAAGTACTAAATTTTACTGTTTTAATCAATAAATATCAAGTAAAAATATCACGCGTTATTACCTCATAAGTCAAAAACAAAAAAAATTAATTTCTCCTAATCCACCACCACCATTGCTTATTCTATTGTCATAATCATTGTAAATTTTCCATCAATCTTTTCATTCATACCACCAAATCAAAGTGGGTATAATCTAGCCTAGAGATTTAGGGATCACCAAGTCATCCATCTATATTTATTTTTCCAAGTTCATGTAAATCTATTGAGTAGATATGTACTCTTTTCCTGTAGTAATGATATAATTAAAATTGCAGATAATATCCACACAATTATGGAAGGTAGTGAAATTAAAAATTCTCAATCATTAGTCAAAATTAAAAATATTTTAATCATATCATGTTTCAAACGGCCAATTCTTTATTTTTCTGGTAAAAAAACGAACATTTTCTTCCTTTTTTTTTCCTTCCAAGCCTTCCATTTCTCGATAAAGGTTGAAATTTCCCAACTGCGAAAGTTTGAATCCCAGATTCCGCTAATACAAATTCAATCCCAACACCTCTAAACTTTATCAATCTAATTAAGGCTTAGTTGAAGTGAAAACAGAAAATTCAACAATTTTCCTAAATAATTTCTCAATCATAATAAGCACTTTCACAATCCCATCTATAAAACATAATGGCCAAAACCAATGTCCCAAAGGAGACTTTCAATTATCCTGTAAAACTTGTACTTATCTAAATACGTTGTAGCTTGAATGAGCTTGATCCCAATGATTCTCTGAACACAAGGCTTGGGTTTTTGTGTAGGCTGATCCAACCATGACCTATTTCTCTATTCTAGTTGATTCAACTTTTGCAAGCAATATCTAAAAATACTTTCTTCGGTTTAGAATAATAAACTTTTCTCAGTTTATTTAAAATATTTTTTACAACATAAACCGTAAGCAAAACTTATAGCAAACAAACAATTTCACACAATTCTAAAACTAATATAAAATAAAATAAATTAGCCCATTTAAGTTGCGGAATGTCTAGGCAAGTATACTGGGAAAGTTCATAAAGACTCATTTAACTGGTTGGCACAGAACCATCAACCTCTCCAAACAACATGAGCATACAAAACTGAAATGGAATGGAATGTCATCAAATAGCAAATTAGTGAAAGCCCCCGTTTGATAGAGCTGTGGGAAAGTGATTATAACTTATAACTTAACAGCTTATAGCTTATAACTGTGAACATAAGCTGATTTTTGACTTATAAATTAAGCTTCTCCTCTCCTATTTAAACAATAAGTTGATTTTTGACTTACAAAAAGCTATAAGCTGTATTGTTAAACTGAACCAAACACATTAAAATAACTTAAATTAAGCTAAAAGCTGAAATAAGTTAGAAATAAGTCCTACCAAACAGGGAGTCCTAGAACCGAGAGAGAGAAAGAAAATAAGAAGATATGCATCTAAGGTTGTATGTATATGCGAGCATGTGCAAGCAAGAGAGTCAAATGAAGCTGATAGACACTGAAAATCGCAAGCAGAAATAATCATTTCTACTTTCTTTTCTTTTTTTCAACTTGTTTGTTACATTACCCAATTCAAAATTCATATCATAGTTTGCTTAGAACTATAAACACAATAGCAACCGCGATATAGAAATAAGAAGACGAAACTATATGATGTATTCATTTTTTATTGGCCCCGTTTGGTAGAGCTGTGGGAAAGTGATTATAGCTTATACCTTAACAGCTTATAGCTTATAACTGTGAGCATAAACTGATTTTTTTACTTATAAATTAAGCTTCTCCTCCCCCACTCAAAGAATAAGTTGATTTTTGACTTACAAAAAGCTATAAGCTGTATTGTTAAGCTGAACCAAACACATTAAAATAGCTTAAATTAAGCTAAAAGCTGAAATAAACTGGAAATAAGTCTTACCAAACAAGGAGTCCTAGAACCGAGAGAGAGAAAGAAAATAAGAAGATATGCATCTAAGGTTGTATGTATATGCGAGCATGTGCAAGCAAGAGAGTCAAATGAAGCTGATAGACATTGAAAATCGCAAGCAAAAATAATCATTTCTACTTTCTTTTTTTTTTTCAACTTGTTTGTTACATTACCCAATTCAAAATTCATATCATAGTTTGCTTAGAACTATAAACACAATAGCAACCGCGATATAGAAATAAGAAGACGAAACTATATGATGTATTCATTTTTTCTCTTGTTTTCTCTTTTGGTTTTTCCTTCTTTAAAAACCAAAAAATGAAAATTTCAAATAAACCAACACCTGTATAAACAAATCGAAATACCTAAGTTGGACATCCACCTCTCAGGGATCACCAAGGGAGAATCGTAGGCATCTGCAGTTATTGCCACTTCCATTGGTGGAACAACCACTCTTTCTCTACCTAACTAATTCACAGTGAAAAAAAAAAAAAGAAAGAAAGAAAGAAAGAAAGAAAAAAAAAAAAACACCAAAATCACTTCATCACTTCTCCGTAACAGCACATTCTCATTTTCCACTCCCTATTTTTCTCTTCCCATCAACAGGAACTGTATGCCTTCCAGTCTTGGGCAATGGTGAAGTGTAACCATTGGAGAGCCTCCGTGTTGATGGTGCTGGAATTAAACTCCTAACAGACAAAAAATAAATCATATTGAAAACATCATTAGAACATGTACGGGTGGCAAATTTAATAGCAGTATAACTACAAGCTTGAAAAAATAACCTAAGAAAGCATCGTTCATGTCTAGTGTTACTAGAAAAAGCTAGTACCCTAACAAATTACATTTTGGAACGCGCATATTCCGAAACATAGTACACTTCCGTTCTGAAATGGTAAATATAATGATCTAAATGATCCCAAAAGTTTTTTTTTTCAATATATTTCCTTAAGGTTTCGTTCGGAGTGAAAAAATATAAATATAATGTGAGTGAATTTTTGACGAGAAAAGAAGTCAAAAATGGGTCATAATACTCATAGAAATGAGTTGCTACCATATAATATAATCTATACAGGTTTACTCCTATAGTATCACATTTTCGAACATGCCACTTTCCCTTTAACATATCGAAAGGATACACGTTCTAGGTAACATAGTTCATGTCACTACTTCCATTCACCCAACTGGATGAGAAATTATAATTGTTCCCTCTTTACAGATTTATAAAAAATAAAAAATAAATAAATAAAAAACCAAGGAAAATACTTTATAAAATTTGCTATGTAATCAGATCACTCACTGGAAGGAAGAGAAAAAAGGTTTTGTTGAGCAGCAATACGCAGGAACTGGAAGAGCAAAACAGTTCACAACTTGGATACATAAAAGGAACAAAACATTAATGCTTCAAAATACCTGATTTCTGGGCTCTTCACTTGCAATTGTCTTGGACTGGGTCTCTTAAGTTTTGATACAAGCGCACCATTTGGGATGTTGGTTACTGTGGGAAGATTATTGAGTTGCCAAAGCAAGTCTGTCTCGGAAGAATCACTTGTTGTGGCATCCAGGTCATCAGACTCATCGGTGGTGGTGGTGGCTGTCTCATACCTATTCCCATTATCTTGGCTGTCCTTTCTGTTAATTAAAGGTTGTTCAGGGTATATCTTCAATGGGTCAAGAGCAGGTCTCCGATTCAACATCTGAGGTAGCTGTTTGTTGTCTTCTTCCCAATGTGCTGGCGGGTTTTCATCACTACCTCCTAGATCACCAGCTTGCTTATTTACCATGACCTTATCAACCCAATCACCGCAATTACCTGCTACTTTCTCGTCTTCCTTCAATACCGCACAACTAACAGGTGGCCAGGCATGTGAATGCAATAAGAAGTCTTGATGATCTAAGCTTGCACTTTTGAGCTTTGATGTAGTGTTGTTCTTAACCTGCAGGCCAGAACATCAGATGTGAACAGCATTTAGATTCAATAATTTTGTTGTCACCATTTGCACTTAGGTTTGTCAATCAGGTCAGAACCTAAGAAGCACGAACACGCCAACATGAAAATTTTTAAAACATGTAGGATACGAATTGGGGATGCGCAAAATATATAATTTTATAATAATTTTTAAAGTATAAAGGAATAGACATAAATTTATATTGTTTTTTTTATCATTGGTTGCCAAGTTATTTTATTCGAACTCGTAATTTATTTTGTGTCTTAATTGTTAGGAAGTGTCTAACAAATGTCGTGTCATGTCAGTGTCCGACATGGTATCCGTGCTTCTTAGGTCGAGATGACGCAGGTAGAGGACCCAAGCCCACCCCGAATTAATTTTATTAACTATCAACTTGAGTTCCAACCAACAAGACTACACATCATTTTTGTATACAACATTTATCTTATAGAACAATGTGCAGACTGAGCTTTGTCTTAGCCTGAGCTCAACCTAAAATTGAAGTCAGGCTTAAATTTATGACAACCCAAGCTGACATCAACCTCAGCCTGAAAAGCTTGGGTCAGTCGGGCAAGCTCCTAGCTTACCCAGCCCTGTTGACAAAACTAGTTGCACTTTCAGACCACAGAGAAATAAAGTAAATCCACTTTTTTATTAAGAAAATAAAGAAAAGCTTTCTCAGCCATAAAAAAAATGGCTTTGACACATTCAGGCTTACCACAAAACAAAAGAACAAAGAGTTTAACTATACACACACAAAAACTAAATAATAAATAATAAACAAAAAGTGAAAGTAGAAACACAGTCACACACATACAAACATGAACACAGAGAGAGAATAGAAAGCAAATTACTACCTCTACATTACCAGCATCGTCCATTGTTTGCCTTCGACCGCTTGACACATCCCCTGGACTCTGCCAACAAGGATGTGCAGGGGAAGACGCAGCAGACGTCATACTCTGTCTGTCTGGGCTGCTGAATGTGGATTGCTGAAGATTTCCAGGTTCTCCTTCCTTCCTTGCCAAGGCTGCCTTAAGGCTAGCAATCTAAAAGTTCACAATAACCAGGAACATTATTTTTAACACAAAACAATCTATATATGCTATATAGAACTCAAAATAGGTGACAAGGGCACTTTGTAAAATTTTTAAAAGAACATTAATAGTAAGCTATGAAGCACCAATACTCCAAAACAAGTGCCGTAGATTCTCGAATTCAAAATCAAGTAAATGGGTCAGGTCTAAATCAAAATTGTTATATAAATGCTTGTTTTTTAACTAAACAAAATTTAAATTTTAAAAAATTATAGTTTCCATTTAACTCTTATCTAATTTTTAACTTATTACACCTCAGTTCTTAACAAGTTTTTTTTTTTTTTTTTTAATATTATAGGACGAATCAAAGTCTCTCTCAACACGTAAAATAGGCATAGGAACAACATATATAGGTGTTAATTATTGTTAATTTAGATTGTTTGTGGATGTAATATTAATCTACATAGAAAATAAAAGTGCTAAAAAATATTTTTTATTGTTGTGTCCCTGTTTTTTAAAATCAATTTGTCCCGTGTGTCTGAATCCGTGTCCGCACTTCTTACATCTTCCCATACAAGGAAGATAGACATTAGATAGATGATGCTTCTAAAATCGTGATTTCCAAGTAAAAATGATATAAATAGTAAGAACCTGTTCCTTCAGCTCTTTGACATCTGCACCATCTTTATTAACTCGAGCAGCACCAAGCTCAACAGTTGAAACCCGCTCAGCAAATTTAAGTGTACTAAGTGTTTCTCCTACAGCATCGGGTTCCGGACTGATGTGAATAAACATTAGAGTTTTGGCTTGCCCTCCTGATAAATATAAAGTCCCAAAAACATACTTAGAATGGAGGGGAAAAAAAATAGGAATGTGATTTTTTTTACAGCTAGAAGATGTCTAAACTAACCCAGTGAATCCTGGAGCAATTGTGTTAGTTTACTGTTCCTATAGGGAACATGTGAATTCTTTTGAGAAAGGGAAGATATCACATCTCCTAAGGCAGAAAGAGATTTGTTGATGTGTTGTGCTTCCTTTAATCGATCTCCAACCACCTCAGATTTATCAACTCTTTCACTCCCAGCCAGATCTACCAGATGCATACAACCACGAATAATTGTCCCAGATGCTAGCTCTCTTCCTTGAACATGAACAGTGAGGCAACTGCCAATGTATAGAAGAATTATTTTACATAAAAGGCAGAACAATATTCAATTTTTTTTTTTTCTAAAAAACAAAATTGCATCACAGTGAAACCAGCTTTAAATAGAATTGTGAATTATATTGTACATTATATTACTTTTCAATTCCATCAAAAACTGTGCATTGTGAAGATTAGATCAAACCGTAACAAATAAAGAAAATGCAAAATTTGGCAAAAATAAAAGAAAGGCATTAAAAGTTGCACCTATGAGAACGACTACTACGATCATTCATAGCTGTAGAACTCACTGCACGATTTTTCTGCCCAAGGTTCATTAAATTAATAACATCAGATGTTGAAGAAACTGGTACAACGTTTGCATCTGGCACATTTAATCCCTTCTGAGAACTGTTACGAATTTCTAATGTGCTTAAGAGTTAAGTACACAAAAATAACATAGAAGATTAAAGAAAACACGATGATATGAATAAGTCAACAACTGTGCAAAGGATATCTTTTGTTAAAACCATCTGCGGCAAGGAGATCCCTGACTTGCTCATTGTAAATCTCAATCATCTGAACAGAAACTTCATAGGAAAAGCTGTCTTTTCTCTGTTCTGAGATGAAAAATAAATCACCCAATGCCCTGTAGTTCACACCTACACTTTCCGGGGTAAGCTCTTTGGGTCCAGTCTGTAAATAAAAAATTGAAAATGAGTCAATGAGAATCATAAATGGCCAAAATTCTATTAATAAGCTAAGAAGCACGAACACAAACATGTGATATGACACAGACATGTTGGCATAAAAATTTTAAAAAAATATATGACACCACACATGGGTACGCATGCAAAATTTATAATTTTATATATTAGCTATATGTCATGTACGAGAATAAATAATTATTATATATTATATATATGAATATTTAAGTCAAAACTAATAATTTTTAAAGTTTAAAGGAGGAGAATAGGTATAAATTTACATTTTTTTTTGTTTTATCATTGAATTCCAGGTTATTTTATTCAAATTTGTAGTGTGTTTCATGTAGGTTTAAGTGTTGGAAAGTGTCCGACAAGTGTCATCTCATATCCAATGCAACACTTTACCTTCTTAGAAGTGTTTGTACTTCTTAGTTAATAAGAAAATGCACATAATGTATGAAGTCATCATCATTGTGCCCACAAAACCTTGCATAAAATGTCTTACCATAGTATGAGTTTTCCCTGATCCTGTTTGGCCATATGCAAATATACAAACATTGTAACCATCAAGGACAGACCGAATCAGAGGTTGCGTGTCTGCAAATACCTCTTCTGCAGTGGGAAAAAAAAGAGAATTGTTGCTTTAGGAAGAAAAGCTGACAAATGGAGTATGCATCAGAATAAAAGAAACTCAATGGGGACTTCAGTGACCTTGTGTTACATATGGACCAAAAACTCTGTTGAAAGTGAATGATTTTCGTCCATCTTTTCCATATTTTGAAGGGGTGATAATTGTGATGCTTCCTTCATCCATGTGATCCACAGCATTCACACGGTTTGCTTGCCCAGGCAAGAAAGGTCGCACTCGACAGTACACCCTAATACTTCCTACTCAAACAAAACAAGCAAGTAAAGATACACTGTTATTAAAGAAAATCCTAGCAACGAAACAAATAAAGCTTTAAGCTACCGACAGTGTTACCTTTGAGGTCTTGCACTTGATTGTATAACTTGCGGTTTTCCTCAAGAACTCTCTGGTATCCTGACGCAGCACAAGCTAGACCATGCAAATGCATACCTATTAAAGGAAGTTGTGAATTAGATGGATATATCCCCTTCAATTCATGATCTCCACAACCATGGGACAATTTGATCTGAAAATGTACCTAAATTGTTGACCTCCTCTCGATACTTCATTTGCAAAAACTGCATATCTGCTTTTGCAGTATGAAGAGTATGTTTCAATTCCTACATGATATGGACACCAATTGACTAAGTACAACCACATAGAAACTTAAGAAACTATATGTGACCATTGCTGCCACAAATCACCTGTATATCTCTATGTTGTCGTTCAACAAGCATCTGCTGCTTCAGAACTGGGGCTTTTGAACTTTCATCATGAATATCCTCTTTGTTTAAGCTTTCCTCTTTTATAATCTTTGTGGTCTCTTTGTCTTCCATCTTAACCATTACATTGGCAGAGGAATGTCAGTTATTTGTGCTCAAGATCAAAAGACAATTTACACAGGCATGCAAGACAAAGATCCAAAGCATGCAGACTAATTCGTTTGCTTTCAAACTTTCTAGGATACAATGAAACACCATACCTCGATTTCCCCAGAAGAAGATTTTGGGAGAGACTTGTTAGGGCTAGAGACATCCACATCTCCCGGAGTAGTTTTCATCTATCAAATCACCAAAAAGATGAATCCGAATGAGAAGCCAAATAAAAAATTAACAACCTACATTGTGAAGGTAAACAAAACAAGTGTTGTGCAGATGAAAAGGAGTGTACTATAATCATACTCAAGGGGCGGAAAAGAGCTTCACATGACAATTTTTTGGATATTAGAATGATGATACCCTAGTGACAAATGCAGCTGCATACCTGTTCATTTTGGCTTGCTACACGATGCTCATACTCCTCCATAACTTTGCCTAGCATATTCTCCACAATCTGTTGCAAAGGGGAGAGAAACATGTTACTCTTAGAATAGACAATTGATTAAGTAATAGGAATACAAGAAGCCCTCCTTCACTACAAAAGTGAAAATTAGAAAAAGATACTACCTTAAAAGTGTTCAATATGTTACCTAGAACGTGGATCGTTCCAATACATGGAATGGGAACGGGGTACACCACACGCTCTAAAATGTGATACGATAGGAGTAGACTTATATATATTGCATTTTAGAATTTAAGTTACTTCTAGAGTAATTTTCTTTTAACTATTAGGTATCCAATAATATTTTTTTTTAAATTCCTTCATGTAGCAGATCATTTCTATGAAAATTATGACCCATTTTTTATGTTTTTGTCTTGTCAAAACTTAATTCACCTTAGATTTTAGTTCATATATTTGATTTTTTATTTTTTTCTCTTAAGGTAACAGTTAAGGAAATACATTGGAAAAAAAACTTTTGGGATCACTTTGGATCACTAAATTTACTGTTTTGGAACGAAAGTATACCATGCTGGAACGTATGTACCAATACGTAATTTGCTAGGATATTAGCGTTTTCTGGTAGCATAGGTTCAATATATACGTTCTTAGAATTCATAGTATGATCTTAGTATCTGGGAAGAATGCCATTGAACAGATGATTGTTTTACTCAAAACTGTTCAAACTAGTGGCCTAAAATATCCCCACTTTTGGAGTTGATTGATGTCGCATAATGCTCCCCTTGTTTGCTGAGTGTAACTCATTATCCTTTCTTCTCATCACTGTAATGCTTCCCTGATAAGGGCTAAATAAGATATCCTAATTAAAATAACAAGCATAAGCATATGCTTGAGTAAACTAGTGGCCTAAGATATACCCAATATCAGGAGCCAATCAATGTTAACTATGCTCTTCATCTTTACTATGTGTAGAATCATTAGCCCTCTCCTCATCCCCCAGAGCTCTTAGCAGTCTCTTCCACAACTCTCACCTGACTAGGACGACTTGATAAGATATTTTAATTGATTTCACAAGCAAAGGACACTTACAGTTGGAATTTCTTCTGGCTTCTTATCCCAAAGAAGTTCGCGGACAAGCAAATGCAAGGAATGAGTGTTACCCTGAAATTCAAAATGCCAAAAAGCTTCAAACAGTCACTTTTCCAAATCAATAATGTCAAACAATACTTCGAATATTTTTAAAAATAAGCTCACTGACCATTTCACTGAGGTCAATCCCAAGATCACTGCATGAGGATTGCTCGCTACACAAACTATCAAGAGACTTCTCACTTGACAAGTGCCTTAAAGAACTCAGGATTGGTTCTGAGGTTTTCCGTACAAAGTGCTTCCCAGAGGATTTCAGGTTTCCACCAAATTTCCACGTTCCATTTCCACCCCCTTGTTTCCATTCATGGTAGGATTTCAGTGCTAGTACACAATTCACAATCCTTGAAGATTTTCCTCCCTAAATATTTAGAAAACGGGGAAAGTGTCAAAAGCAAAATAGGGAACTTTTGGAATGTGGTGTATTTGTCACAATGATTTTAATTCATTTCTCCATTTAACATTTACAACAAGAAATTGTCAGACTGAAACGGCATTCTTCAAAATTTCCTTTTAATTGTAGATACAAGATTCATCAACTCACCTGTTCCAGAAAAGAGGCTTCAAAGGTAGGAAGCCCCAATTCCTCCACAACTACAAGGAAGTTTCTTACATTTTCAAAGTATTGAAATGCATATAGAGCTGCTCCATCAGTAACATTAACAGAATCAGAAAAGGCTTCAACTACCTGAGCAAAATGGCAATTAGAAGCATTAATATAAAAGAAATAGCAGATAATAAAGAAGAAAGCATTGAAAAAAGGAAACCAAATCAAATCAAGAAGTGAAATAAACCCTACTTTTGGTACAGCACCGGGTTGAACCTTGTTGAGGACATTACAAAGGATTATTCCGCTTCGTAACCCAAGCCTGAATTCTTCTTCTGAAGGCTGAGCTGGCAAATCCTTACCCCCGACAACTCCAACCATCTTTCTTAGCCACCCAGCTGCTTCATATCTTCTCACGGCTGCAAAACAACATCCGAGGTTAAACACTTGAAAAAAGTAAAATCAAAATCAAGATCAAGAAAGTTCAACCATCAATCACTGCAAATTTCTCCTAGCTACAAAGCTATAAATAGTTTCAATGAAAATGTAAAGAATAAGTCTTCACAAATTAAACAGAAAAATAAAATAAAATAAAATATTTTGTGGGTTGTGAAGGAACTTCTTCAACATGACAACCAACAAATCCAGGACACATGTTAGATACCCCAAAAAAGTATCAACAACATGTAATTGATAAATTAAATGTATATACCCAGTAAGAAACACAACAACAGATTAAAATTCAATCATACTCAGAAAGCTAGGAGATAAATGCCACATAGTATAATCCATAACCACCCAAATTCAAATCAAATTCAGGTAGAAATCAACCAATTTGATCAAAAATCAACGAAAACAGTAAAATTTTCATAAGGAACAAGAAAGGGAACAAACGCACAAGCTTCCTCGGCCTTCCTCGATGCCAAATTGATGTCGCCGAGTCTCTTCCCATGCTGCTGAAGAACATCCTCAACAACGGACGCCAGAGAAAACGGTAGAATCCCCGCCGTCGTCGCCATCAGACCAAGAAATCTGACCGTTGCACAATTCGAAGTAATTCAGATTCAATAATATTTCACCATTAAAGCTCAAACCAAACCAAATCGAATTCCAAATCTTATGTTCACAAACTCTTCCAAAACCGAATCAAATCCTCAAGAAAATGAGAATGCAGATACATATATACACACAGAAGGCCAGGGTTTTGAATCCAAGATCTGTACAGAGAGAAACAGAGAAAAGTTGGAAGTTATAGGAAGAGAAGAGAGAGAGATAGAGATATAGAGAGAGAAAGCTTTCTCTCTCTAGATTTCTATATCTTTGTTTGTGTGAGCTTTCCCTCTCTGGACGCTTTCTGTTTTCTGTTGGACGCCGACGCTCGTTCCGAGCCTCTTGGTTCGGACAGCTGACGGTTTATATTTTGCGGGAATGAGACAAACTAGTGAGAAATATGCCTAATTTTATATATGCTCTTTTTTTTGTGTAAATTACATTTTACACCCTATTTGTTAGCTATTCATTCACTTGACACTGAAAATTTATTGATTGTTACTTTGACTTTTTATGTTTTATGTTTTTTTTTTTTTAATTTACTCATAAAATTAACTTCCGTCTAAAATTAGGCAAAAAATGTCATATTGACAGTGATATGACATAATAAAAATATTTTATTATATATAACTTACACCTCTAATACAAACTCAAATTTTAATATAATAATATTTTTTATGTTGTATAGCAGTTAGTGTAACATTTTTTGTCTAATTTTAAACCGAAGTTATCTTTAAGAATAAATTGGAAGAACAAACTTTAAGGGTCCATGTGAAAAAATAATCAAACATAAAAAGGGTAAAGTATAATTTATCATTTTTTATCCATTTGTTCCAAAATTGCCTTGGTTTTACATTTGGGTATTAGAGTTGGTTTTTAAAAAAATTGTTTGTTAATCTCTTTTTTTTATTTTTTTTTTTTTTTTTTTTTTTTTTTGATCGGCAAAAATCAGTTGTTAATTGTTAGATTAATACTTATAAGAGTTAGTCTTTTCACCCTTTCGAAAAGCACAAAGTCTTATTGAAAATAATTCTTGATAAAATTGTCGTTAAAAATAATTTTTTTGTGACAATTTTTACATATGTAGCTAAAAATTGACAATTAGTGATTTTTTTTGTCATAATTTTTATAATTTGCTGCTAAAATTTACAATTAGTGACTTTTTTTATAACAAATTTTTCCTATAGGACCTATTAGACAATAAGTCCACTTATTAGGACTTATACGTAAGTACCTCATAATTTAACTCTCTTAAAGAGAGTTGAACCCATAACTTGCCCATAGAGATTAAGCCCTTAAAAAAATTATAGTGGCCAACTAAGTTAGGCCTAATTGGTTATTGTAGCTTGGTTATTGTTTTAGTTAATCTATGGCTTCATTATTTATATTTTTTGGTTATAGGTAGAGGTGTGAATAAAAATCCTTCATGAGAAAGAGAGAAGAAAATAACAGAGACACCCCCCCTCCCCCCACAAAAAAAAAAAAAAAAAAAACCTTCTATCTTATTTCTTTTTTTGTTATTTTTCTTTTTCTTTCACATATGATCTAATATAATATTAAGTTTTCTCCCAACTTTTGAATTAAAATTGTTGATTTATGAGTTTTGATTAGTTAATTGTTGGTTTAAACTAATTTCTTTAATTTAAATGAAGAAGAGTTGACTTCAATTGAAGTCTCTAACTTATCCCTTGCTCATCTATATCTATATAAAACATATTTTCTTATAAAAAAAATGTTCTATTTGACATAGTTGAGAATTAAAAGATTGAACAAATTCAACTGTTATAAAAAATAAAAAAATAAAAAAGAAAGAAAAAAAAGGCCCTATAAGGGCATAGTGATGATTAAAACTGAATAAATGTAATGATTAGTGTTTTTCAGAATAGTGAAATACCTTAAGGTAAGAGCAATTTTACTGAATTTTTGTTTGGAAAAATTATGTAAATAGTCCCCGTAATTTATACGATGTGTCAATTTGGTCTCTGCAATTTTAATTTGCTCGATTTTGTCCCTTAATTTAACAGATTGTGTCATTTTAGTCTAATAAATAACGGTTGTTAAGTTAATTCAACAGAAAGTCAAACAATGTGTCAATTTTGGTCCCTGTATTTTTCACAATGTGTCAATTTAGTCCCTATCAAAATTGAGAAAATTAAAATTACAGGGACCAAATTGATACATCATGTAAAGTACTGGGACAAAATTGACACATTGTTTGACGTTCCGTTAAATTAACTTAACAACTATTATTTATTGGACTAAAATGACACAATCTGTTAAATTAAGGGGCAAAATTGAGCAAATTAAAACTACATGGACCAAATTGACACATCATATAAATTATAGAGACTATTTGCATAATTTACCATTTTTGTTTTGTGTATCTTATTTGACTTTCCATACTAGTTCTTAAAGAGTATTATACATATATATATATATATATATGGAGAGAGAGAGAGAGAGAGAGAGAGAGAGAGAGAGAGAGAATTTTCATAGAAGATAATGTATTTTTGTAGTATTTTATTAAATTAAAATGTTTATCATTTTAATTCATACTTTTAAAAGTATCACTGGCACCCCTTTCTGATAAATTTGTTATATTAAAATTTTTGTAAAGCATTTTGTGTTTGGAAAACATTTTTGAAGGTTACAATTAATTATGTGTCAACTACTTTTAATTTCTAATATTTTGTTATATAGTTAAATTAATAATCAAAGGCAAACCAAAGCTACAATATGTTAAGGTACACTACCCCCAAACCAAAAATAAATAAATAAATAGTTGGTAAGCTTTTATATTTTGTCTAAAAGTGCAATTAAACTTTTTCAGAAAAATTATACATCAGTGGTATCTTTTGAAAATAATTATAGATTTATGAAAAAAAATATGACTTTAATTATTAAAATTTGTAAAGTTTACCACTAATCTAATTTTTTTTTTCCAAACTTATACTTCATTTTTATTTCCCCAACTTATTTTTTCCTTTTGAACGTCTTGGCCTAAATTTTTTTGTTGTTCTACACAAATTCACAATTGAATTACTTGGCCAATTTTAAATGAGTGTGTACCGTATATAAGTTGTGTCCAAATGTAATGCAATTTTTTTGCACAAAGTGATATTGGTTACACTCTAAAGGGTTATTTGGTTATGATTTAAAGTGACATTTCTATCGTTGATTGTTGTTAGCATGTCCTATTATAAAAAACACACAAATAAGTTAAACTAAAAGAAGAAAGCTAACAAAATCAGTAAGAAATAAACCTTCATATTTTAAACTCATTTGGATCTAAAAAGAACAAAAAATTTAATTCATACAATCAACTGAAAAACTAATAGCAAAAAATGTGCTTATGAATGAGTGTTATAATACACAAAACTATAATATTGAAACATAGTTGAAAGGGATAAGGGCATAGGGGAAACACTAAGGATGGAGTAATGTGCGACCATATTTGGTTACATGTGATGCGGCACCTCATATGACAAGCACTAATCACATTACGTGATAGATTTCATAAAATATTAACATTAATACTTTTTAAATAAAATGTAATACATATGATTAATCTAATGTAAAATGTCATATAAATGGTACCATATCCAAGTGTGGTCTATCTTACGTTGTATATAGACCAAAAAACATAAATACATTAAGTTTAAAGCCACCAAAGCTTTTGTTCAGGACATGGGCCCATAAAAAATGACAAAAATATATATATGCTTAGGCAATTACTTTGTCTATGTTTTGTACCCTGTAGAATTCACAAGATGGTCAAAAAAAAAAAAATGTTGTCGTAAAGGATTAAGTCATTCCTTTTTTATTTTTATTTTAAAGAAGGTCAATTTCTTTTCCTAGACTAATGACTACCTTATTCAGTATTGTTAATTATTATGAAAGGATACCGTCGTCTCAGGACTACTAGTAGTTTTAATTGTTAAATATCGTACAAACATAACGTAATTGGTCTGTATTAATTATGCACTCAAGTATCATCATTTATATAGAGTTTCCTCAATATAAGAGTTTTTTAATTGAGAAACTTTTCTCAAAATAGAGCCTTAACACGGGGTTAGGTGATTTTTTTTTAGATATAATGAATTATATATATATATATAGTTTATTGTATAAATTCATATGAAAAATTAAATAAACCAATATTATATATCATTATCCTTCCCTTTTTGGGTACTATGTGACTTTAGTCTTCCTTTTGAACTGATGAAACTTGTTCTTCCTTATGGTGATATATTCTTTAAGCAAAGACACAGGACAGCATAATACGAGTACAAAGTCGTTTGGTTTTAACTATTTTAGTTAGTTTTTTGATTTTTTTGACTTTTTTAGCCTGTAACTTTTTTAGTCGTTTGGTATTTTTGTTTGACTTTTTCGACTTTTTGGCTTTAGAATGACAAAATTACCCTTAGTATAGAATGATGTTTTTTTGACTTTTTATTTGTATATGGGGTAGTTTGATACTTTTGTAACTTTTTTGTCTTTTTGTAATTTTGTAACTTTTTTTTTGTCTTTTGTGATTATATAACCCACAAAAAAAAAACCAAACCAAGGCTAAAAACGTCGGTTTATTATGACCATTGACTTGCTTGCTCTTGCTTTAAAAAATTATGCTAAAAAAATGTGATTATTTTTTACATCCCATTTAAAATTCCAAAATTTCAAATTAGACTTCCTAAGGAGAAAGGTATTGGGGGTGACTATCATCCCATGGACATGTGTTTGTTTTAACATTACTCTTGACCTTGTTTGGTATGATTTTCAAAAAAAAATATATATATATATATATTTTTTCATTTTTATTTTTATTTTTTAGATTTTTTAATACAAAATAAAAATAATAAGTAAAACTGCTTAAAACAAAATAAGACAAGTTTAAAAAGAAATAAACTACAACTGCAATAAAATAAATTTGTCTTACTGATTATTATGTAACACGTGTAAAATGAGCAAAATCAAATGCTTGACCACTAGGCTTAGCGCATCCTTTTCTCTCTCTCTCCCTTTTACGAGCACTTCGACTAATTATGTGATCTTGAAGTTAACGACCTAACAAATTTTCAATGATTTTAAGATTTAGAATGTTTAGTCTTTGTAGAATTTAACTGCGACTTCTCCTCTTTTTGGGAGTCAACGACCTGACAAGTAATAAGTCTTTTAGTTGCTTCTCCTCTTACTGAACCAAATCTCTTGGGTTCCTTTGCGTTGTTTGGGGAACAACTTTTTAGCAAATTTTTTAATTTTTTTTAGTATTTTTCTAAATGCATTAGCTTTTTTAGCAAATGTTTTTTTTTACCTAAATCCTTTTTTTTTTTCAAATAG